TTCTGCTTTGGTGGTTCTGAAGAAGAAGATTTTTTAGTAGTTTTTGCCGTTTTTAGGAAAAACAAAATGGCGGGAAAAGTCACATGACCGCTAAAGTTTTTATTGCTGATATCTATTACACATGAGTTGTACTATATACCATAAAAAAATCTAGACGCCTAGACCCTCAGAAAGTGGTCAAACAGCCACTTCCGGTTTTATTTCAATCCAATATGGCAGCCAAACTAATTGACCAATCTAAATTCTGAAAGCATGTTGCACCAGTTCACATTAGGGACTATCAGTATAGAGTATTATCAGACCATTCCGTTCAGCGGTTTTCTCAAACGGCTTGACGAAAAAAGTTACGGAAGAAAGAAAGAAAGAAAGAAAGAAAAAACTGAACGATAATAATAGGGGCCTCGCCCTTTGGGCTTGGGCCCCTAAAAAAAAAGAATACCTACCTATGTTCATATCCAGCACATTCTTCAGCAAATACCTACAAAGATGAACAGAATTGGGTCATTACCTTAATGTATGCTGCAACATTTTGTTATGTTACCGGTAGTTGCACATCAAGTATGTCATACACATCAGATTAATATTGTATTGTCTAATGGCGAAAGTGCAATTTTTAAACTATAAATGATTAATTAATTCAATCATTTGGGCCAGCTAATTATTAAGTAAATTAATTAAAAAAACAAATAAAGCCCCATTGATTGTTTTGATTATTTCAACTGATGACTACACATATTAAACAGCCGTGGATAAGAGAAATAAGTATACAAAACATTTTTGGATCAGGAAATATGGCATCACATATGGTGTCATTTTCTGCTTTGTTAACCAGAATGAGGGTGTGGTCATTCTGTCTGGAAGCAAGTCTTAATATTACAGTTTATGAGATGTAATATATGTAGTAACGGTTTTACTGGACATGTGCTTCTGAGAATATTTCTTCAATTTTGATTTTGCACCCTCATGATATCAATGAAAGAGTACAGAAAAACTCGCAATTTTGAAAATCACTTCCAATTATATAAATTTAGCAACTGCAGTACATAATTTACCCTGATTGTTTCTGTGTACCCTTATTTTATAAACGAGAGGGGAAAAGAAACCTTGAGTCTAAAAACTGGGAATGCTTTGAAATAGAAAGAATGATAAATATGCAATAGCAATTAATTTTGTTGTTAATCAAAATTAATCACTTAATATTCAACAAGATGCATCTATAAATTGGTCATTAAATGCGTTTTTTTTAAAATAATTTAATAGTAGAAACCAATTTGCTGGCTAATAAAATCCATAGCAATAGATCTTGTTGATAGAGAACAAGCTGTGATGACGGAAAAATCATATTATAGTGAGTTTGTGAATATTAAATGATAGTCTTAACAGACATACATATTCAGTAGCAAATGATACAATGTATATACTGGTACTGTTTATTTTAAGAGAATTATTTTAGCAAGTTATTAATAATGTATTTTCATTAGAATGTTGTGACTGATGCCATCAAAAAAATACCAGCGTGGCTTGAGACTATTTATAATTGACTCAACATGCAAAAGTCACCACCTTTTTAATTAGTAAAACATTCTTAAAATAAACAAGCAACCTGTCGGCTCTAAGATAGCTCCGCTGTTAGCAATGCACATTTCAATTAAAGAACAGAAGATATCATTAGAAAATGAACAATATGCATAGTATCAATGCAATGGGACTTGCTGTTTTCAACAAGAATTCAAAAATATCATTTTTCACCATAAATGATGGTGGTTTTTAACAAGAAGTCGAAAATATCACTTTTTACCAAAAATGACAAAAATATTCACCAAAATTAGAGAATTAAAGATATCATTACAAAAATGAACAAATCTGGGAGAGGTCCACATGTAGTACTTATATGTAATATCAAAGCAATTGGACTTAACAAGAAGTCAAAAATATCACTTTTTACCAAAAATATTCACCAAAATTAGAGAATTGAAGATATGATCATGAAATGAACAAATGTGAGAGAGGTCTACCCAAGGTACGTATACACAAAGTATCAAAGCATTCAGGTTTGTAGTTTTCAAGAAGAAGTTGAAAAAGTAAAACATTGATACGGACGACGGACAATCACTTATATGATAAGCTCCGCTGGACAAAGTCTACAGCTAAAAAGGTCAATTGTCAAGGATTATTACATTTGTTGATTGTGTCTTTCATTTCTATATAGAATTGTGCTTGAAATGTAGATGAATAATTCTGAGTGCAGAATTTGGGATTGGTTACCTCATATACAACTCATTCACTGCTGTTGATGGTGAAAAAAATTAGCATTTGATTTGCATAGGGGAATAAGCGCATTCTAGACACTCCTGTCCAAAATTTAATATCTGGAACACGTGGTAAAAAACATCAAGCATAGCTGGCCAAATTAGTTGACTGCTAGTGTTTGTAAATAAATACATTTTTTTAGATTTTTTTTTGTATGGCTATATTTTTCTGTTTTGCCCCTGGCTAGTGCAGCTTGTACACATATCACACACAGTCTGAGCGAGTACTGAAGCCAAAAGAATTTTTTTATGGTTTATTTAATTTTAACATATATTATTAGGAAATCCATTGGCAAATCACCTAGTATTATTTTTCAAATACGAGGCAATTATTTTTCAGACTTACTCCTTGTAAAATAAAATACGTTTCATTGTCATACATTTTTTTGAAAACATAATTTACAGACATTGTGTGAAATATTATTGACTGCAAATTGAAATATTCATTTATTTGTATTTCAGAAAATTGTAGTTTGTAAACATAAAAAAAAAATATGGTGAAAAACTGACTGGGTATACACATCAAGGATCTATTGTTACATGAAACATATTTAAAGATATTGAATAAAATCGTTTTATTGTATCATTCAGAAAATACATTTATTATTCTGGTAAAAAAAAAATAAAATAAATAAAATGTTTAGAACGAATAAATATTGGAATAGTAATTGTTGCTTACATTAATAATCACAGTAGTTGAAAAAGTCGCATAATAAAAATAAAAACTGTCCCAACTGATAATTTTAACTAGCAAGATAAATTACGCCATATAGTTTTGAAACATGATTTTTATCTCTGCTCATCCTCATTTCATAACATAGTTAAAGTCTGGGTACCTTGCTCTTTTTTTGTATCTTGTAACAGATGTTGTCACTCATATGTTTTTTTACCTCTATTACATCGAGGACAAACAAACAAATCATGAAATGAACAAAACTGCGAAGATACAATGCTAGGTATTATTGGCAGTAAATTAACTTAATAAAATTTAACCAAATGACAAAATAGTTGCTTAAAGTAAGAAATTCTAAATAGAGAAAACTCTAAATAAATAAATAAACAGATCAAATATAGGTCTGCCAAAGGCACCTAACATACCAGAAATTATCAAAGCAGTTGGGGCAAGTACCTTTTAGGAAGAAGTTGATGATATTATTCTTTCAATATTAAATTAAAAATAAAAAAAAATTGAAATTAATGTGATGAAATGAACCAATCAGATAGTAACATCACGGTGGGAGTTTGTACAAACCGTCAGCTGTCGCTGGGTTGATGTGGTTTGTTAGCTGTTGTATATATATCTGGTAGTGTTGCTTATGTGTGGGCTTCGATTACGAAAACAACATTCAGCACCATCAGTGTGGTGAAACCTCAATGACGGTGCTGAATGTTACTTTGCATGGAACATAAACTTCAATTGATCCCACTGTGATGACGCATACGTTGTGGAATACGGAAAAAGAGCCCGAATCATTTAGTATGAAACGCCGGAATCACGTATATTCGGTCTTGACCCTAACTCTGTCTATTGCGGTTATTTGAAGATTGTAAATGCTTTCTATCATTCTAAACTGGTCACCAAATTTAACAACTGCCTTCTGAGGTTTACACTCAAATCTAAATGAGCTACGGCACGCATTAATAGATCTCGATTGTATACAGCACCACCAGTGGTTGTTTCCGGCTCCATGCGTCAAGTGAACTATGTCAAATACGATATGTCAAATAGAATGTAAATCTCATTGACACTTTGAGCACCATTTTCCCACAAAAATTTCAGAAAAACATTTTGCTTATATTTATGTATTTTCAACAACTGTTTTTCGATAATTATGGACTAAATGAAAATATTTTCTCATTGCCTCTAGATTTTGATCAAAAAAACGAAAAAAAAAACGTTTTTTATTTGTGAACAGTGACATAAGATGACTCTGTGAATACAGCGTCAGGGATTGAAGAATATCTCTTCTATTAAGACTATTCATAAATATATACATGTATTATTGATTTGTGTATATATTTTTAGTAAATGTGTATCAATCAGAAATTCCCCCTAGCAAATTGTACTGTATTCAGTTTCCACCAATTTGTTGATATTGATATTGTATTCCCAAAGGATTTAAAAATTTATTGGCAGTCATATTGGTTACAAGACAGGCATTCACAATTTTGAAGTCAGACAGATGCCTATTCCTTTCCGGACTACTGAAAGAATTGAATGTAGATCAGCTCTTTAACCAGTCATGTATGCATTTACACACACAGTGAAACAAAACAACAGATTTGAAGCACAATTTAACGAAATTTATCTTGTGATATTTATGTATGAGACGTAAGCTAATTGACCATTTTCCGTTCACTGTGAGAATCACGCTTTAAGCATGAAATCGAACGTAAAAACAGGACAAACAAAGGTCGTAGCATTGTAGTGGCGTCAAACATCCCATGGGATTCCGCAAACGCAAAAATATTTTAGGGGCATTTCCATGCTTAATAATGTGCTTTACACATTTGATGATAGACAATTTAGATTAAGTAAGGGTATTCGAACGCAATATTTCTCTGTCGGCCAGTCGATGTACATGTATGTATAAAGAAATTCAAATCAAATCGTTCGATTTTTGTGGCAGACCGTTCGGCGCGCGTCTTTCATGCATCTCGCAGTTGAACGGAAAATCACCTATTGAACTAGGACAAGATTTTATACTCATCATGAACAATATAAGAAAGTTTTATATTATTTGGATAATAATTACTTATAATTGGATAATTACGTTACCACTCACACATTACTAATATTAACCACTTACTAATATTAACAACAACCACAGCGCTGGCAGACATTCTCCCTCCCCAATATATTTTGCCCTTCGTATTGATATTACGGGCAAGACAAAAAATCAGAAAGTATTTTTCTGTAAATTAGAAAGTTGGGACTACCCAATTCGGTCAGTTAGTAAAAACTGTTCACGGGGGATAGGCAATTTGAACATTTTATCAGTTCCAGTTAAAATCAGCTGGTCAGGGACAGGAGGGCAGACCTTACTATAAATTCCAACCCCTGACCCAATTTTCGATTAATTATACCATGAACCTTATTAGAGATACATAGGCCTATTATCAAAAGATCCGATAAAGTTTGGGGTTGGGTTGGCTATGAAAAGTTTCTATCTAACAAAACTGATTTTAATTAGTTCATAATAAAGATCTAATCTGTTAGCTGGATCCCGAAACAAAATGAAGATTTTTTTTTAAATCTTACATCGATCTTTTGACGTTGTCCCGAGATGACAAACAATTTATGCTAATTAGGACCTCATGATCTATTTTGAAATATCTAAGTTTGAAAAAATGACGAGATGCACGTTTTTGGAGACGACATCTTGCCTTGACTTATTACTATTAAGAAGTTCCTTCCTGGACATAGCAATGCAAGACAAAATAAACAAAATAAAAGTGTACGCACGCTGCCATGTTTTTGCACTACTACTATTACATGACCTTAAATATCCAGTATCAATTTCTATAACGATTTAATAAAGGGAATGTGTTAAGCAGTGGTGTTGATTGTTTGAAATTGATGGAAAGACAGATTGGCCTTGTCCGATAATTTACTACTAACCAACGGAATTTACAATACCACTGCCGCTCATCTAGGTTGTTTGTTTTCGCATACACAGACTAAACGATGGGTGCTAGATGACTCGCTACTGCCGTCTCAAATGACAACTACACTGTTTGCGTCTCACGCTGTGACACGAGTCCGTCGTTGTAGGTTTTTACATTCAATATGCACAGACACCATAATTGGCAGGTTATTGTGATCGACTACAGTAACTAGTTTACGATGCTCACGCTAAATTCACACATTTACAAGGCCACGGAAATACAAATGTTAACCTTACCTCGGAAATTAGAAGCGACAACAACGAAATCAATAGGTTAGTTAAGTACGACATGGCGATAAATGTTGTAAACGACAATTATTTACAGAATTACGAGCATCAACAGAAGAATCTTCGTAATAATGCAGCCTGCTGTTGACTACTCGCGTAAACTCTATGACGTCACGACAAAACATATGACGTTTCACGGAGACTGACGGAAGCTTCCGGGAATTGTCGAACGTTGATATTTCAGTAAAACAGGACAACTAAAAAGTAACTATTAACTTCATTCACTTCATTTCAATTCGTCAAACAATCACAACTGTTCACGGTGTATTGGTTAATTCTGTGGATCATGTATTCGTTGTTGATGTGAATTCAATAGACCATTTTCCGTTCACTGCGAGAATCACGCGTTATGCGTGAAATCGAACTTAAAAACAGGACAAACAAAGGTCATAGCGTCGTAGTCGCGTCAAACATCGCGTGGGATTCGACAAACGCGAAAGTATTTCGGGGACATTTCCATGCTTAATAATGTGCTGTCCACATTTGATGATAGGCAATTTCGATTAAGTAAGGGTATTCGGAAGCAATATTCCTCTGTCGAAGATCAGCCGGTCAATGTAAGCTGCAAAATAAAGAAATTCTAGTTCAAAATCAAATCGTTCGATTTTTGCGGCAGACGTTCGACGCGCGTCTTTCATGCATCTCGCGAGATCTCGCAATAGTACGGAAAATCACCTATTCCTCTTGGTGTACCACAGTCGCGCGTATTCCGGTGACGTTTGTTGTCAATTTCACTGTAGACCAGTGGCGCAATCGGGATTTTGCCCAGTCCACAGTCTCTCCTCTTGTGGAGGGACTCTGCCCAGTCGTACGTCGATTTCTGTCAATGTTGTCTACTGTTTATGCATGCTGCCCTCAACGGTATTGAGTATATTTTGTCAGGATATTTTTTAACACATATATGAAGCTATTTTACCAGCTACATGTGCATCTTTTCTGAGATAATCCATCTTTTCTGAGATAATCCATCTTTTCTGAGATAATCTGATGGCTAAGTACAAACATAAATTCACACTTTGAAGTGACCTCGTGACATTTATACAAGATGTCATAGCCATCAGCGTTAACTTGAAAAAAAACCCACGCGTTACTATTAGCGACGTGAGCCCATCCTACGCAAAATAAATACAGAAACCATTAAAACTGATAGTATTGAGACAGTATTAATTAAAATGAATACAAAAGAATAAGTTTAAATGATTTTAGTTTTATTTATTTATTTATTTATTTATTTATTTATTTATTTATTTATTTATTTATTTATTTATTTATTTATTTATTTATTTATTTATTTATTTATTCTACAGTATTTATAAATGTTTACAGGTTTCAAATGGCGAATAAAAACAACTTTCCAATCGCAAGCTTTAGAGGACGAATAACGTCTTATATATTTCCGCTACGCTCATTTAACCTTTAACCTCTCATTTGACACTGGTCGCTTTTCAAATTTAATGTTCTGTGCCAAACTGTAGTGATACTACTTGTAATTGAATTCTTTTAAATTGGTTTCAGCAAAGAAATCACTGTAATTTCAAGCGTTTTAATCATATTTGATGACATCCATCTTTTGCATTCATCTCAGTAATGTTATCATATTAAATTTCTGTAACTTGTCATTCATGCATTGAACTGAGAAATATAGAAATTATTAACAGTTTGCAACCGGTATGTGGCTTTGCCTTGGTGTGTGATGATATAAGAGCCTGCGTTAGAGTGAATGGCGACTATGAAGCTAATCACAGTCCCTCTATCCCTCTATTATTCTATTGGCATGCAAACTTTCTAATCAATGAAGGTTTATATAAGTATATTATGTTACTCAAACGGCATTGGTTCGACAACATTTATTTTTGTGCGTGTCCAAAACGCATTGTAAGTTGTTTTTTTTTTATGAAAACCTTTCCGAATTTGAGACGTTGACACAATGCGCCGACAGACACGAGTTTAATGGCAAGTGGTAACAGATTATTTCGTCTGACACGTGATTCAACAAAATTGAGAATTGATTGAAATTTATTGGAATGTGTCTCACATATAGTAGATGATTTTATGAATAATATTAAATCTCAAAAGTCCCAGAAATCATTGCGTCGGGTCAAAGTTCATGCACAGGACGCCACCATCAAAACGTTGAAGGGCATTTGTGTTATGACATTTGTGTTGATGAGCATTGATTTTCCCACAATCCAATGCGCTCTTCCAATGGAAATCACAAGTATGAGGTTTGAACTAGGCGAGACTTGCACTAATTACAACCGGTGATTCCTTCGATATCTTCCAATCACCTAAAAATACCTAATTAAAGCTTAGTAACGTCACAGTTTGTACTCATTAATCTGCGCAACAATCAAAGTCGCCATCTTTGTTTTTATGAGACCCATATATCTCGCGCATGCGTCGCGCGACGACTACCGCCCTTTAACACACCATATTACGAACACAACGTTTTGTTAAATGTCACTATTATTCCAATCGACCACTATATCAGTCGGGATTGTTGTGGTAGACACTTTTTACACATGGTAGCTTGAAGTGGGTGGGGAAAAGAAAATATACTGGGATCAATATTTTTGTAAAAGCATATAACGCTATATAAACGTGTCAGCAATCATGTATGATCTAAAAGTGTTAATCGCATTACTCAAGCAATGGTGATACTAGTACTCGAAATAAAAAAAGCTTAAATTCTTATAACTAGTACTTTTTGTTGGGAGATGAGCGAGCACATCATTTTGCTTTCTTCTGAAAAGGGTTGTTTTTATGAAACTAATATATTTATGTAAACTTCATTTCAAGATTGAACTCAAGAGGGCGTTTGCATATTTAGCTACAGGAAACATTAGTGAGTTGGTGATACAGCAGCATGACCTTTACTCGCCTGCCTTCGTAGAATATCACCAATATCTTACGGAGATAAGACAATTTAATTTTGTAGTAAACGAAACGAAAGCTTAATTTATTTACCCGTACTTCTTTAAACTATAATCCTATATTTTTTAAAGATTGGGATCATTGTGAACTGAAGCATATGATCTCCGTCTCAGAGGCTGTTTGACCTTCATTTTGTTTCCTGTAGCGGTATAATTCCAATTGCTATCTAAGCACATATAAATTCCACTCACTGGCGCCAGGGTGACGGTTTCCTATACTATTCCACGTTCTGTATGTGCAAGTTTCATGAGGGACTGGCCTGGAGTAACGCTGGGCGATGGCAAAATAAAAAAAAAATATTTGTACGGGGAAACAATACTGCAGGGACCTTTAACAGAAAGAAAAGAAAATCTGCACGCCTAAGTCTTAGAGAAAAAATATTCCACATAGTGTAAACAAAAATACAGCAAGTTCATCATGTAAACAAATAATTAGCACAGTTTTTCTGTCATCACCTCAGAGTTTCCAATGGCTCATCCCTAAGATAGACATGAGCCTCTGGCATCACAACTCTTTTATTCAGTTTCGCGTTACCCAATCAGAATGGCGGAAAGTCTGTAACAATACGGGTTTCACAGTACCTACCCAGGCACATGGGGAGACTATTCGATTAGAATTATTTTTAAATCACAAAATTGTGTTATGTAATTTGTACCTTGATAATTATATTTAGAATATATTATATTTAATCCTAATCCCTATTGCCCTGATTCTACAACATTCTTACCGCAAATAGTCCCCGTAAACTAGATCTAAATGATTTAAACCAAAACACCGTTAGTAGCATCATCATTTAAAACAAATGAACGGATAGTACTAGTGGCATATCGGATTTTATAGATACAGATGATCAATAGATAATTGTTTTTCTTCTTCGTGACGTAATTTACAGTATTTTATTAGATTTTGTTAATGTCATCAATACTGTTATGGGTATTCGCAAGGTACTTGGGAATATCGGGTACAATTATACTTCCAGTTATTAAACTCATTTATCAAGATGTGAAATCATGTGTGTGTAAATAAACAGTAAGGATCTTCAGATTTGTTCTCATGTAATATTTAAACTGAGTTGTGTATTATTTCTAATTGTTAATATTAATGAACTAAAGAAAAAATAAAATGTGAACAAGAAGAAGAAAACAAAAATAATGTTATTTGCAGAAGATGTTAGAGAGTACTCGTATGTAGATATACTTAGTAAGTCCCAGAGATTAGATTCGAGTATACTACACCGGTACAAAACCCCACACATCTATTATATGCAAAAATACGATGATGGTTTATTGCAAGAAATACAAACGGACATAGTAACTTCATAGCAAGAGAGTAACAGACGCAGAAATACATATTTACCTATCAGAAGAACGCGTTCGAAAGCGGTACATATTTTCCCTTGGAGATATATTGCGAAGACACATACATATATCTGGACTTAATGTAACTAAAGTATTGGGGTTCACATGGGAAGTATGAGTGCCAAGTTTGAAGGCACTGGCTATCTTTATCCTGTAGCCATATTGCGAGCAAATATACACATATACCCTTGCTTCGGAAAATCTAAATAAATCTTCCGGGTCACCGTGTATGTAAAGGTTAGAAATGGAAGCTATTTTCACTTAGAACCATTTCCTGTCACAACGTTTAAACTAAATTTAATTTGATTTACGCCTGAACTAAGATTACCGAAATCTTCAGTCCTATGATCATTCAGTACAGTAACCAGGAAGGTAAACATGTCAGTTCTGCTGTTATAAAGCAATACTAAATACAATTCAGAAAGTGCGATTGCAGAATAACATCGTCAGTTCATAATGATTTTGTCGAGAACAACGTCCCTAGATGTGCTCGCGTTGATTGTCATTCCGAAAATGGTATACCGAAATGAATAGTACGAATAATGACAAAGCTTTTAAGCTTTTAGTGAGAACAAGGTGCGCCCCACTGTTGCTGAATTGAACGATATTGCCTTCACCTATATACGCCATTTTGACACCACAGAAGCGCTCCGTCACTAGAGGGCGCAATTTATGTGAATGTTCTACAGAACGAAAATAACGCAACGTAGCGACGGTAAATGGAACGGAAATGAGAATCGTTAACAGTACGTCAATGATCACACAATCGTCAGAGTTGACGGTTACGGCGTCTCTTTGTACAATACAGAAATATTTATATTTTAACACTCGCCTCTACATTCCTTCTATCATGTAATACATTTCGATATAAATTATTCTTAATATAAATTTCTCAATTACCTTGTCGAAATCAGTTTTTTCAGAGTCCCCTCCCCCAAACCGAAAGAATTTGACAATGTCAAAACCGGAAAGTCTTTATCGTAGTGTTGTATGTACTTGAGAATTTGGGTGTGTGTGTTTGGATTGGGGTCCATATACGGCGATGTACAAAGTACAGTAGCGGCGGCACAGGGCGGGCAGAGGGGGCAATCGCCTCCCCGGAAAAAATGTGGGGAGGGGGGGTGTAGCCCCTCCAAAACCAAGCTGAAACCCTTTGTGTCAGCAAAACTTGCCCCCAATGCAGGAAATAGCGTTTTAGAGTGTCTAGATTTCAAATATTTTAAGGGGGAGCATGCCCCCGGTCCCCCTAGTAGCCCTAGTAAGGTCGCGCCTTCAGCGCAATGAGGTTGGTGAGCAGGTCACGTACCCTTACCATGCAACATTTCGTGCCGCCGCCTCTGAAGTATCTCTAAACTGTACAAAAGAACAGTCGCTACTCGAGGGTTTTTAAAAACACAAAAATAAAGAAAATGTTGCCATTACATTGGCGATTAGTACTGGACTATACTTATTGAGGTTTGCGTGCCCTGTTTGAGTCCCAGTTTTGCGTCTCATAAATGAGCTTGTGTATACAGTTAGTCACAGTCCCTATAGAGTAGTAGACACCCAACAATTACCTAACCAAATCTATCTCCGGCTCATATACAGAAAACAATCCATCAAACTTGAATGCACGTAGCATTGAGGCGACGAACTCAACTTTCATTCCATATTTTACAATAGAAAGCCAATGTCACGATGTCATACATCGTCTCAAATCAGACGATAGTTATTGTGAAATAAATCCTTTTTATTTTTATTTAAATTCAAGTAAGTGTCAATGCTACATGTTCAGAACACGTCGTATCTACGTAGCTTAGTTCTAGACTTGAACTCCAGTCTTTGTCCCTCACGTTTCCGTT